AATTTCCTAGCTAATGCCTTAATTTTATCTGACTATCATATTTAAAGCACGGATAATGAGGGTCCTGGGTCTTATAAAACGTGGTCTTACTTTTCATATTATATAACTAAATAAGTATGCATTTTATCTCCCTCCAAACGTTTAGTAGAGCTATAATATAATACCTACGTTAATTTCTGTCAACAAGAGAAATTAAGGGAGAAACAGTACTAGACAGAAACTTTTTTTTTTTGAAACTGTCTAGACAGCAACTTTAGGACAGCCTGAAATACTTCTTATTAGACAAATATCAAACAGATATAACCATACGGTAATAATAGGGATAATGCATACTAGTTAATAATAAAAGTGAATCTTTTGACCAAAATTGAGACTTATTAGTATCATGCTACAACTTAGAAGCACCTGAAATGCATTTAGGAGATTATGCTATATCGATATAGATGAAATAGAACATAGGTAACACGCCATCCTAATAGTTCCACAGTAAAAGCCTAGAGCAATTAGCCTGCCAAGATTGAAAAAAGAGCAAGTCTCATAGTACATTGTCCTTCCTTGTCCGGGAGTTGCTTTAGAAATTTAAGTTGGCGTCTCTAACAGGCAACTATAAGCTTGAATATCTACTTACAAAAAAGCTACAAAAAACTCAGAACATGCTTCAATTTGCTACCATTTCATTCTCTCACTGGAGATGGTCAGCCACCTGAAGCTTCATATTTTAATATCAATCAGATACTAACAATAATTAAGAGCTACCTCTTTGATTGTGGCTTTGGCAGGAACGCCAAGAACTGCTGCTCCAACCAGCCAACCATCCTTCAGGACCTGCAGAGAAGATTCTTGAAAAAGAGTAAAGGAAGATTTGTCCTTCAGAATCTTAAACATATATATGGCCTTTATAAAATGTCAACGATCTGCATATTATGTGATGCAGAATTAAAGATAAAGAAGATGGAAATCTCCAGAATTCATGTTATATTTGGCAGCAGTACTTCCCACAATACCAGAAAGTGCCTGCCAAAGCCAAGGACTAAAGGAGGAGGAGGAGATTATGTAATGATCAAACCTTTTCTACATCTTCAGTTTGTACAAGAGGTCTTGCAGAGTCATGGATGCATGCAAGTTTGGAGTTTGAATCAACTTCCTGGCATGCAAAGCATCAACACTTTCTAAAAATCACAATCACTACTGAGAAATACCTTGGCCATAACATTTTCTTACTGCATAACATAATAACAACACAAATCTAAACAATATGTGGAACCAGATAAGATGAAGATATTTCACAAGTTCATCTTTAACTATGGAGTGAATGCAAGACTTTTGACCTGAAATTTAACTGAACCAACATAACTCAAGATCACATGTTAACATCCAAATCACCAAAGAAAGATGAAATGCAATGGAAAAGGTAACTCTTGAGTTTAAGATTTTAGCCACTTGTTGTTCTCCCTAAAAAGTCAAACATTTCAATAGCATTTGGAATGAGATCAACATACCACTCCTATTCAGATTTGGAAAAGAGACAAAAGAATCTTAAGGCCAAAAACTGAGCAGCGAGGACCGATCACATAAAAGCCTAACACTTTTAGCACCTTAGACGAGACCAAATTAAACAGGAACAACTAGATAACTAGTTAATAACTTTTGCTTCATGAACTATTCTGTATGAAATCAGCAATAGAAGCCAAGTTTGCAGGACATCAGTCCAGTACTCTGTCCCAAAAGTTGATCTACTAAGTATAATCAGCCATGATAGGACTGAATATTTGGCTAGCTACATATTCTGGAGAATGAAGGCTGAAAAAGGGCCCTTGGTAAAATATAGAAAAATTAAGTTCTCAAACATAACCAATTTTGTTTTTTGAAAATTGTCAGTGTTAAACCTATACAATTTGAGATAGCATACAGCACATACCTGAAGTCCACTGTATACAGAATCTTGTCTTTCCTTCCCAGGCAATGCAAATTTTAAGTCGACTTGGATATACTCTTTGGCATCTACAAAATAAACAAAGAATTCTTATATAATTACCTTAGTGTCTGCACAAATTCCTATAGATATTGCAATCGGAATAAAGAAGGTAAGTGCACGTTCATTTCTTTCTTGGACATTTTTCTATTGGCTGCACACACACACTAAAAGACATTTGAACTCTATACCTTCAAAAATGTCTTGATAAGAAGGATCACATACAACAATGATTTCCTTCACCTGAGGCATCTTGGAGAAAGTGTAGAAACTGCAACATTCCAATAAATTGTCACCACAAAGTCAAATATGTGATTGAGCTGGTTGAGTAGTTACAAAAGATTCCTCTCCAAACTGTGTTCTCAACACTGTTAAATTTCTACATTAAATGGATTTAGTTTTTGCGGTGCCCAATTCTTGTGTAAAATAAACATGGGGTACTTAGTTCGGTAGTCTAACAGAACAGAAAACTTTCTGAGAATTGAAAGACAGAACTCAATAGTATCAGTGTTCAAGACTTGCAATAGTCCAGTTTAGTTGGTATAAATGACCATCTCTCTTCTGATTTACCCATCTTGACTTGCACCAATTCACACACAGATTATGTCAAATATCAAACCAACTCAATTGAAGAAAAGAGGTCCTGCTAATGACTACTGATTTTGTGGCGTTATTAGCTAAACGGTCCTTTGATATATTCATCTATTGCCAACGTGAATTTGTGCAAACTTTACTATTTCTCGCCACAGCATAAATTTCAGAAGTATCAAGATGTAACTTGTGTCTACTGTCTAGCACTAGGAAATTTGTCATAGATAGGTTTAGTCATAATTGAATCAAGTTGACCAGTTTTACTTTACCTGTACAATGCAATTGGCTGGCCTAGAAGTGGAAGATACTGTTTTGGCATGCTTGCCTATTCCAACAAAATATAACAACAACATCATCTCACAGAAGAAAGTTTTAACACTGTAGATATTGAAGATATGGGAATAAAAGATGCAAAGAATTGAAAACAGAACAGTTTTTAGCAACATTGTGCATCAAATTTTAGATGAACTAAACAACACAAACAATGAAGATAGAATTACAAGTAATAGGAAACAACAAGATAAGTTATTTCCCTCTTCAACTCATATTACTTACGCCCATTCTTTTCCCCTTTCCTCCAGCAAGAAGAATCACAGAAACACTTTTCTCCTCCACCACCACTACATCTGAACCCTGAAGATATAAAAATGCCAATTTTCAAGATTCAATTTTTTCACTAAAAAAATAAAAGATTTTTTTCTTAATTACATCACATGACACATAACCTTGTTAAGATTTGCTGAGGTGGAAGAACAAGAAATCTTGAAAAGACCCCTTCTTGGGTCACCATGACTATAGGTTCTTCTGCAAGTATTCTTTACAAAGTTGGTGGGAAAAAGTGAGATAGAAGGGAATACATTCTTGGGTATATGAGAATTACTTGGCAAGAACATTGGAGAGGAAGAAGAAAGGATGATACCCAATTGAAGAGTAGACATGTTTTATGTACTTTACTCCCTCAGTTCAAAGAGAGAAGACTGGAAAGGGAGTAAAATAGAGGAGTTGATCCTTCAAATTGAATGAAGACAAAAAGGTCTCTTATGAAGTTGGGGATGCCTTCATACTAGGAAAATGCACAAAATGGTCTCTTATGTTTGTGGTATTTTTATAATAATCCCTTTATTATTATCTTTGGGCAATTTTGGTCCATTAAATTTGTCAAAAAATCAAAATTGAACACTATTGATTTTTGTCAAATATTTAACAAATCTTTTTTTTTATATCTAATCGAAACTGTGGAAATAAAAAAAGGATTTAGTAGGAACAGTGCAATTATATACTCCAGTTATGTTACTTTTGATCTAGTTCTGACATTTAATGTAGTTTTACATTCCCTATTACCTTTTTAAAAAAAAAATCTATATCTTACTCCCTCTGTCGTTAATTATTTGTCCACTTTTCCTTTTATAGTTGTTCCTAATTACTTGTCTATTTTGATAAATCAAGAAAGGATAATTTATTTTTACCTATTATACCCTCAATTAAATGATTAATTACTTTGAAAAATGTAGAACTTTTCATCCACTTCATAATTAATAGGGGTAAAATGGTAAACTCACTATATTATTAATTATTTTCTTAATAGGTGTGTCAATTCAAAAGTGGCAAGTAATTAGGGACAAAGGGAGTATGTCTAAGTAATTTTTGATGTTTCAATTTCTTGAATTTGATATACTTTCTTAAGTTCTTTTAAATTAATCCATATTTAAAGATTATTTTTTTGGTTTTGCACACGATATCTCGTAGATGCATTGAAACTTCGATTAAATGCAGATCGCGCATTACAGAGTCCATTTAGGGTAGCGCTCCTTAGGGGTGTGCACTATTCAGATTAAACCAAAAAATCAAACCAAATCAAACTAAATTTTAATTTGGATTGGTTTTTTGGTTTTGGATTAATAATTTACTTTGTTTGGTTTTTTGGTTTGGATTTGAATTTAGAAAAATAAAAACCAAATTTTATATATGTATATATATATATTATTATTATTATTATTATTTTTTCAAATTACAATATAACTTTTGTTATGTTATTAATTATTGACATAACCGAATAACCAAATCGGAAAAAAAACCCGAATCGAATAGAGGAAAATCAAACCAAACCAAATTTATTTTGATTTGGATTGGGTTACAATTTTTTAAAATAAAAAATGGAATAATACAAAACGAAATCGAAAAACTGAATGCACACTCTCCCAATAATTTTTTCTCCATATCCATAACCAAGATTCGAATTCCAAGACCTTTGGTTTAAGGTGAAGCAGTGCCGCTACGGTACCACAACCATGTTGGTCATAGTTAAAGTTCTTTCACAAACATGTCAAGAATTTTTCAATAACTATTTTAAGTTTTCTTTCAAACAAATTGGGCTTACAAAATTATGATAGTGCCCAATATAAAACGCCCAAGCCCAAGGAGCCAATCTTGAAAGTCCTGAAAGGCAGTGCTCCACTTCATTCGGCAAATCAAATTGGGTGAAAATCAAGAAGAGGAAGAAGAACAGATCGAAAATGGGGAAGCCATTGGGAACCACCGGAGAGTTTTTCAGGAGAAGGGACGAGTGGAGGAAGCATCCTATGTTGTCCAATCAGTTCCGACACGCTTTCCCTGGTCTTGGCATCGCTGTTGTAGCCTTCAGCATCTATTGTGTCGGCGAATTTGCCTATAACAAGATGTCTACTCCTTCTCACTCCACCTCTTCCGCCGCTGTTTCTCACTCTCACTGAGATTCGATATGGGTCGGGCTGGTAGTGAACCCCATTTGTCTCTTTTGGTATGACTCCTTTCTGATTTTGTGATTCTTTATTATCTCAACCAACTGTTTCAAGTCTGTGTTTCGTGAAATTTTATTTGATGTGCTTGAAAGAGGTGGGGTTTGTGAATTTTCTTAATTTTATGAAATGGGTCTCATTGATATGCTAATGATCCGAATGGGGGTCACTTTTTTTTGTTTGTTGATGAATAAGTCTTATTGATGCAAAATTGTTCATGTGTTTAAATACGTTCATGTTGTTATAGATTGGAGATTGTATGATCCTATGCTAAGAAATGTCTTTGGTGATGCTCAATAGATGCTTGATTAAATTTGGGTGGGTGGGGGTGTGGTTGGTGTTCCCTGAAGTGGTGTAGCCTCCACTATACTCCTCTTAAGCACCGTAGCTATGCCAATTGTGTTTTTTCTCATCTAGGTGTAAAGATTATACTACAATGATTGAATCTAGTGCCTTCTTTTGATATGTTCATGTCAACTGTGAGTTCTTTTGAGTATCTTGTCAAAAATTAAACTGTGAGTTCTCTAGGGTCTCTACTTGTTTCATTGTTAGATTTCTCTTATACCATGTCTTGAAGGTATCCAATTTGTACCTTAAGCAGGACCACCAATTTTAGTATTGATCATACCACAATCGTCTCATTAGGTACACCAGTTTTCACTTGTCCTTTATCTCACCTGACTGTTGGATGGTTGCTTTTTGTGCAATCAGAGTTTATACGCTCAGGGGTTTAGATATGTCCCTTTCATAAAAGTGTTTGCTTCTTGTGTAATCAGAGTTGTTATGCTCAAGTGGCGAAATGTGCCCCTGTCATAAAATTGAGGATGTCGTCTCCTATGCAAAGTAATGTCTCTGCCTGTGTCTTTGATTTGATTGGTGTATGTGTCAAAGCGTGTCCAGTGTGTGCTATTACTTCCTTTGGGCTCTCTGTATTTAAATTTCCTGTTGTACTCTATGCACAATTCTTAAAATAATGCCTTTTCAATGATTTTGCATCAATGTTGAGTCCTCTTGAATTTCTTCCACTGTTTGTTGTTATATATTTTAATACCATGTCTTGAAGGATTCTGGATACATCCTTAAAGAGACAAAAATAAAAAAAAATGCCAATTGCTGTACACAATAATAGAACCTATCCAACACCCCCATTAATTCGCTTTGTGTCTTGTCTTCTGATTAACTCAGTATTTGTTAGTTGCTGCATGTTGCAACAATTATCGAAGTTGTTGCAACAAATAACTGAAGTTATTGGATTTTACTGGAAAGCTTGGGGGGCTTTTAATAACACCTGCCCAGTTAAAAAAACTTGAATAACCTCTCTTAAAGAGAAGACTTAAATGCCTCCCTTAATTAAAGGACGTTAGAAACAAGACGAGAGGAGCATATGCCTTCTAACTTCTATATCTTATTGCACAATTACGTTAGATAAGTGTGGGTTGATCTCCTTTACCTGTGCTACTTATCAACTTGAGTTATTTGGGGTTACTGCCTTACTGGAATGTTCAGGTTTATGTATTCAATCATCCCTACTATGAGTCTGGCCTTGTTGCCACTTGCCACTCCTACTTAACTGACTCATTATACTAATAGAAACAAGGACCCTTTTGATTAAGGGTGACATTGGAGTCTTTTATGTGAGGAAATGTGACTCAAGTTTTTTTATTGGGTAGGGATGACTCTTTTGAAATTAGTGTTAATGACACACTAATTTAAAAGCCCCCACAAGTGCACCTTGTTTATTAGTGTTAAGGGGCCGATAAGACATCTCCTTTATGCTATGACCTTTTAAACTGAAATACTCACATTCTCAGCTCATAACCTTTTCTAGTTGCATCTTGTTTACTCGGTTTATGTGGTCTGCTCCTATAAAAATTTTCATATGAAAGATTTGAAAGATGCAGTTTACTTTCTGAATGTGTTTGATTTAGTGGGTTGCAATCTCAGTTGCATATTGTTTTAGACAGTTGCTGCAACGTTTCCATTTATCAAATGGCACCTAAACATTGTTTCATTCAATTCTGTTGTACAACAACATACCCAATGTAATCTCACAAGTGGGGTTAGGAAGGGTGGTGCTTACGCAACCTTGCCCCTACCTTATCAAGGTAGAGAAACTATTTCCGTTAGACCCTTGGCTCAAGTGAAGCCCCATAACAAGTATGGGAAGGAAATACAATATAAGATGTCATGCTAAATAAAGGAGAAGGGAACAACAACATATAATACGGTGGAAACATATAATAATAAAATTGAAGAAAAAGATAACAGGAGAGTAATAATAGCAATATTGTTATGGGAAACTGGATGACGCTCGACTACCTACTAACCTTCTACCCTAATGAACAACATAGAAAGGGAAGAGAGATTTACCATATATCTTTGTCTCCAGATAGTCCCTCCACTAGTTCAGCTAGGTAGTGATCTTCTTTTGAGGCAGGAGATCGGGAGGGAGAAAGAACCTGGTTTTTTGAAGCAATATCTAATTATTCACGTGAGCATTTAATTTTTGACAAACAAGATTTAGCTAGATGAGATTGCTTGCCCATGCTGCTAATTTGGAATATTTTGTATCTCATCGTACTCGTCCACGGTCTAGCAGTGTTGATTCTATTTGGTAAATTGGCAGCAGAATTTGCAAATTGAAAACTGACTTACGCTGCTTGTTGTGCAGGTGAGGTGGTAGTTTAAGAACTGGGATGACTATACAGTTCAGTCGTGTTTTTTCTCAGTAATCATCAATAAGATACTTAACAAACATGGACATGTTGCCTCAATTTTTTTGAGACTTGTGTTGTAACAAGATTAATGAGCAGTTTGCTTTACTATGTATTGTCCTCGATTTTGTGGTTTTCTAATAAATCTACTATTCCATGGGCTCTCTCTTCTTTCTCTCCATAGCATTCATTTCCAGTAGGGTAAACATTAGGAATTTTTTTTTGTGTGGAAGTATTGAAGTCATATTCTGGGTATAAACCTAGTGGAACTGACAATATAAGTTCAATAATCTTGCTGTTAATGGATACATAAAAAATACAATTGAGCAAAAGAAACTATAATACTCCCTCTGTTTCAATTTATTCGGTTTTTTTTTCTTCTGTAGTTTAAAATAATAAGATTCATTTTCTTTTTTAAACATTGTGTTAAGTCGAAAATCCAAATCAAACAAATAAAATGAACTTATGAGCGTTTACTAAAGGAATATTTATAAAAGAAAAAATGAAGGTGGAAAGAAATTTCACAGTAAGAAAATACCGACCATATTCGCAACACGCAATTGCCTTGCCTTAACACACAAACATTATAATACCTCGTCTCCCTTTCCAACCCCAAACAAAAACTCGTCATTTTTTCCCCCTTCACGCGGGCCTTTCCATTGACGTAAGTCCTCAAAGTTCTAAATTTTCCATTTTCGTTCTCTAGTTTTCATCTTCAAAATCTCAATTGGATCATTATCCTCTTTGTCTCTGCATAAACTCTCAGTTGGGTCATCCTTTTCTTGAACTTTTTTCAATGGCAACCCCACAAACCCGTTATTCTTTCCACGTTTTCTTGAGTTTCAGAGGCGAAGACACCCGAAAGAACTTTACTGATCATCTCTACACAGCTCTCATCAACGCTGGAATTCGAACTTTTCGAGATGATGACGAAATTCGCAGGGGAGAAAACATAGAATCTGAACTGCAAAAGGGTATTCGAGAATCCAAGATTTCACTAGTTGTCTTCTCCGAAGATTACGGTTCTTCAAGATGGTGTCTTGATGAGCTTGTCAACATTCTTAATCGAAGAAAGAAAGAGGGTCATACTGTTTTACCTGTCTTTTACACTGTGAGCCCTGAGGATGTCCAGAACCAAACTGGAAGTTTTGCTAAAGCTTTTGTGAATCATGAAAAGAGAGGAAACGCAGAGAGTGGAGAGAAAAGAAAGGAATGGATGGAGAAGATGGAGAAATGGAGAGTAGCTCTGAAGGAAGTTGCTGAATTAGAAGGAATGTGCTTAGCCAAAGAAGTAGACGGGTCAGTTTCCTAAATTATCCAAACCCTTGGTATTTTTCTTCTTTTTCAGTATTTGCAGTTATTCCCCCTTCAGTAATTAGTCATGAGAGCTATGTTAGTTCTAATTGTTTCCGGTGAAAGAAATAGTTATGGCTTAATAATTGCTTTAATCTTTACTTGAAGGGAAACTTGGCTGATGATATTAGTGAAGTACCATAGATAATAATCTAAAACTATGTTTTGTTCTGGATTAAGTAGTCAACCGATTGATTTCATCTATTTAAATCTGGAAATTCGCTTTTGAGGATCAACGGTATTCCAACTTAGCCAACACACGATTCTCCCCAAACAAGAAAACCTATTCATCAGTTGGAAAGTTCTGATGTAAATTTGCCATTCACTCAGTACTAGTTGTCCTGTATTTTAGGTTGTGGCTATTGCAATGACATAGTGCCAGTTTTCTAATTCATCAGCAAACAAGTTGTAAACATTATTTTCTGAGAATAATTTATAGTATCTATGCATCTGACTATCATAAATGTCCAAGTGACTGGCCCGCAAAATTTTCTATTGTAAAGGTTATTTCAGGAAAAGATACAATGGAAATGCTAAATGGGCAAAATTTAAAAGATGGATTGACGAAAATTCTACCAAGGCATGAAAAATTAACTGTGAACAGCCCAAACTTAAAGAGATTTAATATGTTAAAGACCCTGGATAGTACGTTGAGCTCTAAGCAAATTCGAGCAAAAAAGTTTAACAAAGTTGGCATAAATCTAATTTGAAAGACTAATCAGATGAAAGACACAAAGTTCAAAGCTAAAGATGATAAAAAGCTACCTCAGGTTGGATTCTAGTAAAGTGTGACAGTCACGTGTGAGTATGCCAAATGGCAAGTGCTATGCATAAGTCGCGATTGAACCTCATGGGGTTCCCCTAAAAGATAGAGATTCCTAGCTTTCATGTATATTCCTTCTCTCTGAATGTAATGTATTGTTGGTTATCCACTCTAGAGACAAACGAGGATGGTCTTCTGGCTTCTTTTGTTGCTATGAAATGTGTCGCATGTGGATCCCATTGGAGAAGTCTCATTACTGATCTTTTTTCAATATTTTCAACCTCAAAGACTCAAACCACTAAAAATAGAATGTCTTTTCCCTATTAGATCTGCTGATTTTTAAAGGAGTCCACATAGAAACATACTGACTTGTACTTTATCCATTACAATCACCTATATCCTTAGGAAACACATTTTAATGCTCAATATTTTTGGCGACTCTTCAATTAGATTTTGTGTCCTCTTTTCCATGAATGTGTGCTGCCTTCTACCTTGGGGGTATGGAGGCACCCTAGTTGAACTCTTGCTGTGCGTGGATGTGTCTGTGCTGTTTTCTTTTCTTTTCCCTTCTTTCCTTCCTTTTCCTGCTTATCATATGCCAGAAGTTAGTAAGACCTCTCTCTGACTAGTTGAGGTAAAAAACTTGGACAAGACAACTAGGGACTCTTGGATTTAAAACTTGCTCTCAAATTATTCCGATTAAGATAGATGGGAGCAATAATTTCTTGCTTTCCATGTAATCTTCCTTCATGTCTGTGAATGCTCTTGACTTGTATGTGCTTTTAGCTTTTCCAATCAGCAGTTCTTCAAGCCATTGTGTCCTCAATTATTTGTTATGAGAGTCAAAATGATCTATTTAAAGAGTGAAGGATATATAAAGGGAGGGTACCAAATAGCTGACTAGACAAATCAAAAGGTACAAAAGAACGAAATGTTGTCATGATACACTCCATTCTCCTAGTGTGGATGCACTTTGTATCAGTAACTTTTGGAAATTTTTGTATGATATAGCCTCAGTTATGATGAAGCTAAACTGTGTCCTTGTCTTAATCATTTTCCTAACCGGAAATGGTTCACTGTAATATTTCATGGTTCTCTATTTATTGTACTACTACTCTCTTTATTTTGCTGTCCATTTCCCTTTGTTGCTCCTCAATATTGTCAAATTCTTCACAGCACACAAATAAAGGTAAATATCACTCATTTTTTCTCCTGTAGTACCAGTAAGCCACATATATTTCATCTTTGTTGCTTTTCTGGGAAATGTATAAGTTTTTTTTTTTTTTTTTTATGACAAGGGAAACCCGCAGCCGCTACCCTTTGGGTGCGCACAGGGTAAAACCCCCGCTCCTATGCAATAGCTCGCAAACCACATAGGAGAGGTAACCCGCACTAGGCAAGCCTGGTGCGACGAGCTCGACCCAGAAGGCAAACCCCTTGCTTTTGCTGGCAGGGGTTTCGAACTTGAGACCTCCAACATGGAAGTCCCAAGCCCAAACCACTGGGCCACCCCGAAGGGTGTATAAGTTTATTGATTTAGCATTAAGAGATTGCTTTAAAGGTATACTTTCACGTTTTTTCTTAATTGTGCCTAGGCACCTAACCAGGTTATTTCGTTTATTGATGATTAATATGACAGATCATCCTGGTGTGTTATGCTTGCTCTAATGAAGTATTGCCATATCAGTGCTCTCTTTATTTGTTCTCCAGTACTTGGCAAGTTGCAGTGCTTAACTGAATTTTCATCTTGCTTTGTCTCTAACATTTGCACTGCATCCCAGGCATGAGGCAAAATTCATCCAAAAGATCATCAAGGAGATACTCAAAAGATACCCTTTGGGTGCGCACAAGGTAAAACCCCCGCTCCTATGCAATAGCTCGCAAACCACATAGGAGAGGTAACCCGCACTAGGCAAGCCTGGTGCGACGAGCTCGACCCAGAAGGCAAACCCCTTGCTTTTGCTGGCAGGGGTTTCGAACTTGAGACCTCCAACATGGAAGTCCCAAGCCCAAACCACTGGGCCACCCCGAAGGGTGTATAAGTTTATTGATTTAGCATTAAGAGATTGCTTTAAAGGTATACTTTCACGTTTTTTCTTAATTGTGCCTAGGCACCTAACCAGGTTATTTCGTTTATTGATGATTAATATGACAGATCATCCTGGTGTGTTATGCTTGCTCTAATGAAGTATTGCCATATCAGTGCTCTCTTTATTTGTTCTCCAGTACTTGGCAAGTTGCAGTGCTTAACTGAATTTTCATCTTGCTTTGTCTCTAACATTTGCACTGCATCCCAGGCATGAGGCAAAATTCATCCAAAAGATCATCAAGGAGATACTCAAAAGATTGAATCGCACAGTACTTAGTGTACCTTCATACACAGTTGGATTAGAGTCTCGAGTGAAGGACATTAACTCATGGTTACAGGATGAATCCAGTGAAGTTGGCATTGGGATGATCTGTGGACTTGGTGGCGTTGGAAAGACTACTGTTGCTAAAGTAGCTTACAACTCTAATTATGACAGATTTGATGGGAGTTGCTTTCTTGCAAATGTCAGAGAAATCTCTGAGAAACATCCAAATGGTCAGGTTTATTTGCAAAAACAAATTTTTGAAAGTATTTTGAAAGGCAGAAAGGACAAAATATACAATGCTGATGAAGGAATTGTCAAAATGAAAGATGCTATTGGCAACAAAAAGGTTTTTATTGTATTTGATGATGTGGATCAGCTGGATGTCTTGGATTCACTTATTGGGACAAGGGATTGGTTTTATCCTGGGAGTAAAATTCTCATAACGACAAGGTGTGAGAAACTGTTGAAGTCCTATGAGAGGCACATGCTATTCAAGATAAAGGAACTTGGGGTTGATGAGTCTCTAAAGCTCTTCAGTTGGTATGCTTTTGCACAAGACTACCCATTAGAAGAGTTCAAGATGCTTTCAACAGAAGCAATACAGCATTGCGGTGGGCTTCCGTTAGCTCTTTATGATTTGGGTTCGTTTCTTTCAGGGAGAGATATGGAAATATGGAGGAGTAAATTGCAGAAATTGGAAGCAATCCCTCATAGCAGAGTTCAAAAGAATCTTGAGATAAGCTACAAGTCTCTAGATGATCATGACCAGAGGTTGTTCCTTCTTATTGCTTCATTATTTGTTGGGAAGGACAAAGATTATGTTATCAAATTTTTAGAGAACAGCGATTTGCACCCAACAGTTGGAATTCAGAACCTCATTGACAGATCTCTCATCAGCATTGATGACGAAAACAAAGTGATGATGCCTCCACTTATTCAGGACATGGGAAAAGAAATTATTCGTCGAGAATCACCAGATGATCCCGAGAGATTGTGTAAATTATTGAACCAATGTGGTCTATCAAATTGCTTGACAGAAAACAATGTAAGAATCTTGACTTTTCTATTCATGTTAAGCTTGTCTTGGTAGATTCTCAAAGTGTTCTTGTTTCTCACAGAATCTTTGTGCAGCAGGAAACTGATGCAGATGGAGTAGACCTCCCAGGCACCCATCTGCCAGAAGATGGTCTTGTCCCAGCACTTGGTCCTAATGGTGCAAAAAGACCATATTATCAAGATTTTCCAGAAATAGCTGTTCTGCCATACCTAGGTAATTCGTTGAAAAGGCGCTTTGTAGGACTTCTTTCTACGTTCCCCTTATCTGGTGGCCTCAAAAGGTTCTTCCCATGATGAGAGAAGTACTTGTGAAGATGCCTTCTTTCTTTCGGATAAACCAACATTTTACTGCTTAATCTTGTGGAGCTAGAAGACATACATGAGTGTTGTGAGAGTCGGGGCTTCAATAAGGATCATTATCCGATGATATCTGAGCATTTCTTGTCCTTGACATACCGTCTTAGTTGCACAAATTTATAAGTTGCAAAGGTACATTCAGTCCTGTTCTTTTTCATCAGCTTCAGGTGGGCAATTGTGTAAATTATGTTTATTAACTCATTGTACAGTCATAGGGTCATTTCTTGCTAGCTGCATAGTTTACTTCAGCAAACAGTTAACTGGAAGGAACTAAAAATGTAATCTTTAACCATTCCTTTTTAGTCTCTCAAAAAAGGGATAAGGGTCTAAAAAATACCCGAACTTTGGTCGGATTTGCTGTTGCGATACTAAATTTTCTTGAGGACCTATTACATACCTATACTATTTAATACCGTATTTTAAACATATATATTTGTCCATACTCAGTCTATGTTAGTTGAGTGTGTCACATGCGCGTTTTAATACATTAAATTTATTAAATTAGTCATTCGTTCCCAAATAATTAAATTAATTCATTAAATAAACATATTTGAAATGTCAAAAAAATGGAAAATGAATCGTCACTTCACTTCACTCTTCATGTCACTTAAGTCATCTTGTTCCCAGAACTCTCTTTCACTTAGGCCAAAGAAGAACTCAAAGATAGCATTTGAAATCGTGTTTCAAAGAAGAACTCAAAGATAGTTGAAATCGTGTTTGTTGATAGCGTTTGTTGAAATCGTGGCAGCAACTATTCCTGAACTGAACTGAAATTAGTAGTTCTTGAAGGTTAGTCCTTTTTTCGTGTTGTCTAACCTTAGAATTGAATTTTTCATCAGAAATTATCTAGGGTTTAGTTAATATTGACGTTATTGTTGATTTTGTTGACGTAAAATTTGTTAGGGTTTGTCAATAAATTAGGGTTTTTGAGTTTTCATAATTTTGTCTTGTAATTGCAACTTGTTACTGATTGCGATTTATGTTTTAGTTGTAAGAACCAACTATTTTCTTCAGTTCTCTTATTGTGTACTGCTATTGTGACATAATTTCAGGAATGAGTGCTTTTACATATATAACTATGAGATATTACCATGGTGGGATTTTGAATAGAAAGAGGCGAAAACCATTATATGAGAGTGGAGAAATCACTCACATATTCGATGTCGATATTGATAAGATGTCTTACTTAGAACTAACTAATGATATTAAGGAGTTGGGGTATACTACAAGTTGCACATTTTATGTTAGGCCACCTAGAAATGACTTTCTATTAGATATACAAAATGATGAGGATATTTTTGAACTTTCACAAAGCTTTAAAGATGGAGATATTGTTGAGGTCTATGTTTGTCACATGGTTGATGAGTTTGGTGGCCCCATTGGTTTGTTGGAATACATTCCTACCAATAAGGAATCTTTTGGTGCTTTTAATAAAGAAGGGGACAATGGGGACCATGAAAGTGAGAGGGTTGGTGATATTAATGAAAATGAAAATGAGTTTGAAGTTGCAACTACACAACCAGTAGCTGCAACTACTCAACTTGTAGCTTTTCAAAGTTCTCCAGTTGGTGACCCTGAGGTTGTTACACCTACTCAAACATCAACTACTACTACTGCAACTGTTGAGCCTGAGACTGGTACACCTACTCAACCAACATTTAATCCAACTGATGAATCTGTTGTTGAGGATGACTTTTCAGTGCTAGATTCAGACCAATCAACTGAAAATAGTTCAGATTCAGACCATGAAGATCTATTCAATGAAGGTGATGATGAATATGAAAGTGATGTCCATGAAGAAATATAAACTTAAGGGATGAGATGAGGTCATACCAAAGGAGGAAGAGAACAGAAAGAGCACCAAAAGACCCTGAAGAAGTTCCAGTTGCTGAAGTTGGTCCAGATGTGGGTTTTGATGAGACTAAACGTATTGATAAAAACTTAAAAGGTAAAGTTGTTGGGGATGAGCATGTGTATTGTAGTTCTGATGCTTATAGTGTTGAAACTGATTCAGATAATGAGACAAGGAGGGATAGTAAAAGAATTGTTTTTGATAAAACTGCTGAAAAGGTTATGTGGCAGTTGGGCATGGTATTTGAGAGTATGAATGATTTTAGGGATGCTGTTACAAAATATTCACTTCAAAAAGGTGTTCAGTTAGAAAAGTTTACAAATCACCCAAAAAAGGTGAGGGTTAGATGTAGAAAGGGGTGTCCTTGGTTGTTACAATCCATGTAGCACTTGTGTAGTAAAAGTTGATGATTTTGAAGGTAATGGTAAGCTGGTTTTTTGAGAGTTTCTATATATGTTTTGATGCTTGTAGAAAAGCTTTTCTTGGTGGATGTAGAAAATGTATTGGTTTAGATGGATGTTTCTTGAAGGGCGTAACCAAGGGACAATTGTTGGTTGTTGTGGCTAAAGATGCCAATAATCAAATGTTGCCTATTGCATGGAGTGTAGTAGAGTATGAAAATAAGAACACATGGGCATGGTTTTTGAAATTGTTGATAAAGGACTTGGGATTAAGTGATGACAGAGATTACACACTCATTTCAGATATGCAAAAGGTATGTTTTTGGTTAATTTATTATTTTTATTACTATTTTTATTACTGCAATAATGTTATTTTGTTCATTGCAGGGGCTTACATCAACAGTCAAGCATCTTTTATCAGAGGTGGAGCATAGGATGTGTGCAAGACACATTCTTGCTAACTGGGTAAAAGATTACAGAGGTTTAGAAAGAAAATCAATTTTGGAAATGTGCAAGAAGCACCTTTGAGGCAGAGTTGAAGGCAAATTTGGCTCATATGGCATTGCTAGGTAAAAAAGAAATTGTTCCAGATTTACTTCACTATGATGTCAAAACTTAGTGCAAAATGTACTTTAGGACTGATGTTAAGTGTGATAGCATGGATAATAATATGGCTGAAAGCTTTAATTCTTGGATCTTAGCTCCAAGACATAAAACTATTATCACTATGCTTGAAGAGATTAGGGTAAAGGTAATGAATAAACTAGGTCAATTTCATAAAATTTCCAGAAACATGGTTAACAAATATTTCTCCAATGGCATTGAGAGTGCTTGAAAAGAACATAGCAAAGTCAATGAAATGTCATATTGAGTTCAATGGAGAGAGAGGCTTTGAAAATTTCAGATGTATCTTATGTCCATACTGTTGATATGAGCAGTAGGACATGTAGTTGTAAATCATGGATGCTCAAAGAAATACCATGTCCACATGCCATTGCTGCCATTCTTTACAAGAATTGGGAACCAATTGACTATGTTGATGATTGCTACAGTAAGGAGACTTATCTAAGAACCTACTGTCATTACCTACAACCAGTAACCAACATGAAAATGTGGTCTGATTCAACAAATCCTCATGTGGAACCACCAGTTGTTAAATCTATGCCAGGAAGGCCAAGAAAGGTAAGAAACAAAAAGTATTAGGAAACAAAAAAGTCTGGAAAATTACCAAGAACAGGTGTTTACATGACTTGTAGCATCTGTCATGGGAAAATCACAACAAAAGGAGGTGTCCATTAAAGGTATGTCATTTATATGTTATTCCTTATTTATGGTATATATATTTGAGATATTTGACTTGTTATCTATTTGATGTTGTAGGATTCTGTTGCTGCTGGACCAAGTAATGAAACAGGTGCTTCTAGAGCAATTCCTAAACCTAGAGGAAGGCCAATAAAGACACCTACTACTACTACTAAAGCACCTGTTACTAATGGAGAACTTCCCAGGCCTAAGGAAAGGCCAAGAAAGACACCTACTACTACTACTGAAACACCTGCTACTGATGGAGAACCTCCTAGGTCGAAGGGAAGGCCAAGAAAAAAAAATGTTAATCCTGATGCACCGCCTCCTAGGCCTAGGGGAAGGCCAAGAAAAACAACAAGCAATGAGACACTTATTGGAACATTAACTATAGGTAGAGGTATGACTCTTAAATCCCTTCATTCTTAAATCCTTTTTATAAATTGATTTTCACACCTGTTGCAACATCAGAAAGAGACACAACACCTGATACAACACCTGCAAGGGGAAGAGGCATAGGCATTGAAAGGGCTGATACTACACCTGCCAGGGGAAGAGGCATAGGCATTGGAAGGGGTAGGGGAAGGAATAATACAACTGTTCTAGCACCAGGAAGAAACAGGGGTTTCAAAGTATCTCTAAGTGGTATAGGAGCACCAAATAGGACATCTTTGCATGAGTGGTTTGAAAATCCAACAATTTACACTACAAATGCTTCACCAAATCCACCTGTTTTACCTGTTCGTTCTCAATCTAATGCAATACCTACTAAAAGGTCCAGAACAGTTGGAATGGGAGTTTTTATTGCTGAAAATGGCTTAACAACATACAATGTAAGTCCTAAAACCTCTGATAACTTTGTATTAACTTTAATGTTGCCTTAATGTTGTCTTAATTTTGTTCCTACATATTACAGCCAGGACTGCCAAGTAATAGGATATTACATACAGGTTCTGGACAGCCTATCAGTTCTGCTAATGTTACTGGGGACCTTGGTTTCAAACCAAAAACTGGTGTAAGGTGGAAGGGAAAAAAAGCAATGACATTAAATCAACTTGAAGTGATGAGGGATGAGATGAGAGTGAACAAAAGACAGAAAAAGGCTTCTTCACAATCCTAGGAACAATGGAAGTAGTTAAAACATTTTGATAGTTTTTTGAGATCAAAGTTGATGTAATCTTATTTATCATGTTAGTGGGCAAGTTATTTACCATATTTGTATGTTTTGAAGTTGTTATCAACTAATGTATGCTACATTTGCTTGTTTTAATCCAATTGTGCTTTTTATTGTACTTTGTATCCAATTGTGTTTTGTATATGCATTTTACATTAATCATAAACACTTACGAAGTAGTAACATACACAATAACCGAACATACACGATAACCATTCATAGAAACAAGGATATTGCATCCAACACAAAATCAAGTTCATTGACTTTAACCATACATACTAGCAAACATAAACACTTTGAAACTTACATCAACCAAAAGAAATCTTCAACTAGCTATTTTGATTCAAACAACAACCTATGATAACATAAGGAAATCTTTCAACTACCTATTATGATCCAAACAACAACATCAACTACCTATTTTGATCCAAACAGCAACATACATGATTAAGAGACACACCATGAACATTCTATTAAGGCTAAAGTAGCTACTCCATTTCTTCTTCACCTCAATCAATTTGTCTACCTCTTCACAGTCTGAAAGCACTCCATCCATCTCTTTCAGACTAGAATGTTCTTCCAACTGGGTAAAGACAGATTGAGCTTCCATCTCCGTAATTTGTTTATCATTAAAGCTATTGATTTCTTCCATCTCCTTTATTTTCTTTTCATTTGCAACTAATAGTTCATTCATGTCCTTCATTTTCTTCACCAATTTATGAATG